AAATTTAATTCGATCGCCCGCATGAAAATGCAGTAGTATCGAAGTAGCAAAGAAGCATTAACGCAGTAGTGGTGTGGAGCATATTTGCAGTAGAAATGCAGTATAGCCTACTGCAATTCTACTTCAAAAATTACATAGGGTTGTACAGAGGAGGAGCATTAATGCAGTAGATTAGTAGCAGTAGATTAGCATGTTTCAAATATGCTAATTAGCTCCCCAATCGAAGCAGATTTGAAGCATGTTTGCAGTATGAATGCAGTAGTCTACTGCGCTGGAGTATCTACTTCGTTTTCGTATTTAGACTATATTCTATCTTCCTAAACATTTAAATAAAGGAGGAAATATAAGCTATTTTTTATTTTTGTAGACTTTTATCGTTTAAAGTGTCTGAATTGGGATTATAAAGTAGCTATGTAGGGTACGTAAACACAGAAAACATGAGATAATTTCAAATGCATACTGCATATATTTAATGGTCTTGTTTTAACAGACTTACGGTAACTCAAGACCGAAAACCAGAAAAACTCACATTGCCCGTTTAGTTCTCGTGCCCAATGCCGAAGCATCTCCACTTTTCGTAAACTTAACCTTTTAAGCAAAAGGGGCTAGAAATTCTATTATTGCGACAGTTTTTGCACAGTTTTGACTAGAAAACCTTTAGATTTGTGGATTGTAAACGGTGCTTTCTTTTTTCAAAACGAAAATTGTGCAGTGTGAAAAAAATGCGCAATGCCTTGGCTAAATTGCTGTTTCATAATAGCTACAAATTATGCAAGGAATAAATACACAGTGGCATTTTTCTTAAAGACAAATTTTTGCGAGACGCACCGACGATCAACATATATAGAGTGTGGCAATGTTTACATACCTGGTTGGAAGTAAAATATCTCTTGTCAATGTTACTGAATTCTCTCAGATGAGGCATCCTGAAGTAGACTTCTGTGGTGCCTTGGTACTGAGTGGACTTGGTGTCTTAACCGAGCAGACAGCGTTCGAGGTAGGAAGATATGAAGGAAGGCGGTTGCTTTTTATACATGGCTTCCCCGCCTACCTGTGTACAAAACGCACCCTGATTGGCTGCGTGGGTTGGCGTTGGCGTTTTGACTGTTGTGTCTTTGGCATATCTACTCTGTTGTATTGAGCAAAAAATATTCTGATCACCATGTTTTCAACCTCTTTTCGTTTATATTTCCGGTCACATTTTAACAAGGGAATTACATTGTGTGTGTGTGTGTGTGTGTGTGTGCGCGCGCGCGCGCAGAAGCCTTAATGCAATGAATCCGGCATCCGATAATAAATAAATAAATAAATAAATAAATAAATAAATAGGGATCCGCTTGTTAATAATTATACAAAAAATTACTTACAATAGAATTTTTTTTTAGGGAAAATAAGGACCGTGCGACTCATAGGAAATACATCTCTTTACCCCTCAGGTATATTGTCCTAACACCGTGTATACTGATGCAGTTACTTGCCCCTTCCTCTGCTTGCCCCCAGGCACGGCCATGAAGAGTGAAGGAAGAGGTTGGGTAACTCTGTTGTATCATTTCTATTAGTTTTGCCCCATGCAGTCTTATTTTGGTCTCTTTGGACTGTGAATTGGTCTCGCCGCAAGTGAGTAAACGTATATTGCGTTAAAATGCATATACTCATAAAATATTCATTCAGCACAATTTTCAATATCAAATTTGGTCAATTTCGTACTAATCTTGGTTAGCAGAAGCCCCGTTAAATAAATAAAATGTCCCTTACAATTTGAGGTTGAAACTTATTGAGGGAGCGAATATGGTAAATACTTTTAGCCGTGAAGACCAGGCAACATCATGTCAAATTTTGTAGAAATGAACATCCCAGATGAATGTTTATCAAATGCAAGTGAACGTATAAGACGTTGACCGAACTGAGGTATTTTAAATATTGCAATTTTTATTGTTTACGTTGCAACGTGTCCATAATGAACCAAATCGAGACTGCAGCATTTGACAAAATTAGAAGATAAATGAAATGATATGAGTTAAATGAATATAAAATATTAAAACTTAATACAATAAATAAATATATGAAAAAAAAAGAATTAACCCCAACGCCTGTGAATTACAACTGTAAAGTTTTTCATGCAAGCAGTGCGTATTAAATATAAAATAAGAAATAAATAAAATGCGAGGTTTGTGTTAAAATAACGAGAGGTCTCTGAATAGTTGCCAGGAAACATGTGCAATATTTGTATTGTGAAAAGGTAATAGGCGTGACTTGTAGTTTTATGCTGCAACATGGTCTATGACATTACAAGGATAGTTGCACTGCAAGACATAACCCAGAAACACCCACTGTCAGATTTGTTTAATAAAATAAATAAGGCATAGTATGTAGTCGTTTGTTGATTTTAGCAAGGAGTTTCACTCCTTGATTTTAGAAAGATTCAACTACCGAGTGGGCGACCGGCTCTTTTTAATTTCTTTTAAGATGTCCAGTCAACAAGCTTATCTAAAAGTTTTATTTATTTATAATGATCCAAGCACTGTTTGTACTGATTGAAAACGATTTAGAAGGACAGGTGGGTGAATTTTTCTGTTAATAACGTGCATGGATTCATAATAATGATGTGAAATGAAGCGCGGACTTATTTTTCATTAGGCCTCTGTGGGCAGTGCAATGTACAATTGAATACACAATTCTAGGTATCTTTATAACGTAGGTGGTAGTATACAAAGCAGAAACATTTTTCTTTTGTGGAAAGGTTCAAAACTCTTCATATTATGACATATACAAATTAAAAACATGCACTGAAAATAAATGCGTGGAACGGGCCAGGTGTTACTCTGACCCCGCCCACAAGCTAAGCGTTCTTTATAGTTTACCTAGACAGATGCGTGGGTATGGATAAACACATGACCGGTTTTTAAACTTTATTACGGAACGCATGGAGAGTGGACACAAAGAGATCAACTATTAAAAAAAATAAATAAACATACCTTCCCGACAGAGCGTTACGCTTACAATCATAATTTGCAATTGATGAAACTCATCCAAACGTATATCAAAGTGTATGTATGTTACTTTGATCTTGTCACAAACTTAAGCGCTTACAAACAAGGCATCTTGACAGGCCACCAAAAGTATTGACATAAAATGTTTTAAATGTTTCTTTTTTCATCTTTTCAACGTGGTTTTATAAACAAGTTGTTTACATTTTAGTGATGCATCTTAAACAAACTTATATTTTTCTCAATTGAAGAAGAACATAGACGTGCGGGAATTCAAGATAAGTTCCTTTGTATATTGTATCCCGCGAGGCAAATATGATCGTTGCATTAGTCTTTTTTTTTTCAATTTTACCTGTAAGAACAAGGCAATCCTGTTAATCATAAACAAAACACAATAGTATTTATAATTGCAAGTTGCCATTGTATTGTAAAAAAATTTGCCCTTATAATTAAGCCAAATCGAAATTTGAGCGTTCACAAAACACACGGATCATTAACAATGAATTGAAAAACTGAATGCAACAAAAATCTATAAAGAAATAATAAAATTGTTCAAGCGCTATAAAATATTTGGATATGTATGTTTATGCTTGAACACGCTGCTTGCGTACTTGTTGACCTGCTGAGGTTACATGACACAGTGACATTTTTATTGAGTTTTCTAAGTCAAACAGAGAATGCCTTTAAGCGAAGCGGTATGCCGCTTATTTGTATTAAACAAGGGTGGTCCCTTTTATAAGTTGAAAACGTTAAAGTATTAGCTTACAACAAGGGGGGGGGGTACGTATAAGCAATCAGCAATAAATAACATCCACAGCTAGATAAATCCCAACCTATTACATATATATATATATATATATATATATATATATATATATATATATATATATATATATATGTGTGTGTGTGTGTGTGTGTGTGTGTGCGTGTGTGTGTGTGTGTGTGCTTTACTACACTAAACTGTAGTAAACATTCACCAAAACACCATTCACATTCAACATAACCATCATCTACGTCCAGTTGTGTCCTGTAGGGCAGTCTGCACTATTCTTGGTCATCAAATACTTCAACATAAATCAAATGTCATTAAGTTTATATGGTCGGAAACTGCATAAAATCCCGAACAAGGTTAATATTTATGGGGGTGACCAGGCAACATTATTAATCAAAATGAACACCACAATGTGAAAGAGGCATAACTGTTGACCAGTTGTGAGATTCCAGAACATGTTTTCATAGATGTTTGGAAAATAAGATTCCTCAAACTTCGTCAATGCAAGTTAGTCAGCCTATAATATTTATGACCGACATAAGGTCTGCTTTGGTGCTACGTTTCTTTGTGTATCGATTATTGGGTACTCTTAGATTCCCTCGATTTTTTTCGCCATTGCATTTGTTGTCGATTGCGTTGGAATTTAACATGTTTATCATACGGACCGTGTCTCAACTGCAGCATTTGACATATTTCATGGATAAATGAAATAATGACAAATAAAGGCTTTTAATAGTGAATGAATACAAATAATAATCAAAATAAAAAGAACATATGATAAATAGATAAACTGATACAAAGAATGAATTTAACAGACACAATTCTGAAAACAAAAAGCAATTTGCAAAGAGGCATATAGTTCGTAGACACGCATTATGTATAAAATGCATATAATCAATCGTGTGGAGTTAATCACAAAATACATCAAATTTAAAGCTTCATGTGCTTTTATTCTACAACCAAAGAAGAAAAACATTAAAATATTATTTAAATATGAAGTGTACCCTATATGTTAATTTTTCATGTACTCAAAAAGATAAAAATGACATCCCTGCGCCTTTTACAACATAAAGAAGCATGAAATCACATGGGGGTACATTTGACTTTTTGTTCTGTCTAATTAATTGATATACAAAGAGTTTAGTACCTATTATGTCCCTCTGATCAAGCCAACGTGTCCTTTGCATATATATATATATATATATATATATATATATATATATATATATATATAATTTTTTTTTTTTAATGTAAGATCGTCCTCAATTATATGAAATCGTAAGTGGGGTCATGGATACAGTTTTCGATGTATAATAAAGCTGAATGTTCACATTTTCTAGTTGATATACAGGCACTGGAAGTTCTTTCTTTACGTCATTGGTACCGTTTTGGCTAATAGGTTGACAGTCGAAAGATAATGACGTCTCCAGGATTCGGGATATAGCCATCAACTCCTAGAATTCAAGAAGAAAATAGCTTAATTGACTCGTTTGCTACGACACGAGTCGTATGCACCACATCTTGCAAGGTAAATTAATTTTGTCATTCATCCATTTATACCTGACTTTTATATCTATATTTTAAAATTAAATAAAAGCAACTACATGTGTGAATCAGACGCCAATAAAACATAAAATATAAAATAGCTAGAGGTTTTTAAAATATATTATTCTAAATGATTGACAAAATATTAAAAACGTATGGATAGAAGCATAGTAAAGGCATTATTAAATCAATCAATCAAATTTATTGACTATGCAAACAAATAAACGAAGCAATTTCAAATAAGCTAGATAAGATTAATTAAGGAATAAAGTTATAATTGAACCAAAAATTATAACATACTATGAATTGATCACAAACTAGTGCGGGTGCAAATATTTATAAACAAATAGCATACATACCCACTTCCAATGGGGTGTCCGGTGCCTTAAGAATTTGCCAATATGTTCTCTTCTCTGGATCCTCCGATATGCCGTTAATCTCGGTGATGTAGTGACCAAGGGAGGTGTCCTTGGCCTTGAAACTGAAAACAAGACCGACGAAATTAATTATTTACCAGTGTGATCGTTGATCGCAACGTTTTTTCCTCGTGATTTTTAAAAGATGCATTATTTGATATCATTGACAGAGTTATAAACTTATATCAATTTAATTGACAATTTTTTGACATGTATAAAGTCCAGATTTATTACGCACTGTGCAAGTTAAAGTACATTTCTGTAAAACGAAAGGTTTAAAAGCAAAAGGTTAAAAACCCAAATGAAGGAATTTGTTTTTGTTATTTCGATATTTAATTAGCCTTGGAAAAAGTGAACGTAATAGAAATATTGGAAAATCAAGCAGCCTACCTGAAATCTGATACACTTTCCTGAAGAATACCCATGGAATCGTACAAGGATGATCCTACTGGAACGGTCACATAGTAACTCTGGTTTTCACTGTGTCCTTCTATATTAGCAACTACCTGGATGGTGAATGTGAGTTGTGTGGGAGTTGTGGTCGTAGTTGGCGGAGCTTGAGTAGTAGTGAGCTTCTGACAGATATTGATGTCTCCCAAATCAGCGTATGATTTGCCAGCAAGGGCGGGGAGAACCTGATTGGCAGCTGTCACTCCTCCAAACGATCCATCTGGCTCTGTTAAATTCAAGAGTGCAAGTAAGCTGTCCATTAGCTACAATTATAATCTTTACTTATGATCTAACATAATGCCTCAAAATATAAATAAATTCATAAATAGAATAAAATAAAAAATATAAAATAAATTGTCACATCTCAGTAAAATGTTTTATAAAATACATATTTTTACCCCTTATGCATCAATGAAATAAGGAAAGTCTTTACTTACGTTGATAGGCTAAGAGGGTAAGTTGAGCTTTCTTCTTGATCAGTTTTCGACTGTTTTCATTATCTGCGTACAGAGCCTACAATAGCAAAAAATATCAATATACATTTACATATCATTACGTACATGTGACGTCACAGCAACAGCAGGAGCAGTGGACTGACTCCGTGTCCGTGGTGTCTAAGTAAAGGCTTTTTTTGCAATAAAATTATCTTGTCGTTTAATAGTATCAAAACAACCGCCTGGTTCGATATTTTAAAAAGTTAAAAACTATTACGACCTCGACCTTTGCACTGTATTGCCTTACAGGTAGTTCTATACCTGAACAGCCAGTCCGGTAGTGTATTGGTTGCCAAATGAACCATCCGGTTTGATATTAGACAGAATATACTGGACCCCAGTATTGATGGCAGGTATGACGTCAGATGCCCCAGTCCGGTCTCTCACACAACACAATGCAATCACTGATATTGCAGCTTCATCTGGAAACAGAGACAGACAACGGAAGTGAATCGTTTGCCAAAGAGAATTAAAAAACGAAAGTGAAAGTGTATGGAAAAAGGTCAAGACGGTGGCTGAATTTAAACATGTAAATCAATTGGTTAAGTAACCAAACAACCATAAGAACAACAACAAAAAAGAATGAAAGAAAAATGACTAGCACAACAAATGTTAAAAAGAAAAACATATGATAAAAATATGACATTACCAACTCCGAAAGTATAATTCCCCGCTCCATCCAGAAGACGTTTGTAGTACGTCTCGTTTATAGCACCAGAGTTGCACAGAGCCAACACAGCCCAGCTGTAGGCGAAATTGTGGTTAAAGTAATACTTGGGAAAGTTGTTCATTTGGTTCATGAGAAGTTCTATAAGGTTATGGTCATAGAAATTTGCCGGGTTTTGACAGGTAGACACAAGGCCGTTGATGAACTGGCCAAGTTTTCCGCCATACCAGGCGGCAGTGTCCAATCCTGGGTAGCTGCAAGAAAAAATATTTATCATTCTTATTATTCATTTATTTATTTATTAGCTAATCAATTAATTAATCACTTAAAATAATTCTTATTATTACTAATTAATTATTGATTAACGCAGCATTATTTGTTATTAGACAATAAACTAAATATTTAGCCAATAAATTGACTAAGCAAACCCAAGTAAATCCCTCCATAACTTTTTGCATAATTTTGCTAACAAACACACAAATAAGTAACTAATAATTAACAAAAAATTAATAAATGGTCATCACCAAAATATTATCAGTTTTCAGCCCTTTTCAGATCTAGCCTGAAATGTCATCAAAACCCAACGATATATCTTTTTGACTTACTAGTAGACTCAGTAACTGGCCGACAAATAAACAAACGGAGGTAAAACACTTCCTGGACGAAGCTTACTACCCAGTACAAACTGTTACTGGTCAGATATCAACGTACTTGCTAATAGCTGCCAGGAGAACCAAATTCATTTCTTTGACGCTGGCGACGGTGTTTGGCTTATCGGGATTATACCAGCCACTTCCTTTAGCCAACTGAAGCGCCGTGATGGCCTCCGCCTCACTTCGCATTCCCCAACCCCAATCTTCATTTCGGTTCTTCAGCAGCCATCTTATTCCTTTCTCTCTCACTTTGAATTTGTAAATATTGTCGAATATGCATTTTATCTTCATGTAAATGACGAGATCATAGTAAATTGTAACAATAATTGAGTGAAAGTTTGAGTCTTGGAGTTTATCAGTTATTGGAAAACGCATTGCCTCCTTATGACATTGCTGGTTGGCCGGGGGGGGGGGGTCGTGTTTTTTTCCTTACTCCTTTATGTCAGTTTTAACATCCATATAACTTATCTCACCCGAAACATGCTGTTATGTTCCATGTGTGATATGTTATATGGATGATTATTGCGTTGAACAGAAATGACGTGGTCTTCAGTGGACGCAGGTGGCAAAAAGCTATATATCAACAGTTAATTACGCTTTTCATTCGAACTTTAAAATATTCGATGCACTTGTTGTTAAATACCGCGGTGATTAAAACACAAATGCTAATAAGACTCTTCAATGATATTTGAAAATACATAATTTGGATAGCCTAAACAATCAGAACTAACTACATCCTGTTGTAAAATAGGTCGGTTTTATATATAATTAAAGTAAAAAAGCGAAATGTAAATCATACATTTATTACCTCGACTTGTGTAAAAATGTTATCTATGGTAAATCCTCACTTGAAAACAAAGCCATTGCACGCAAATATTTTATATAAGTCAGATATCAATATCCACGGTTTGCAGTAGTGCAACTAATGAAAATGACTTATGAATATCACAATATCACACTTTACTTACCACCTAGGCAATGCACGGATACCAAGGTGCATAAAACTGCATACAAGATCTTCATGGCGTTTCGTTTTCTTTTCACGTTGGTTCTTTACCTGCAAGATTCTAGAGCCGTAACATACGTAGACCACTGAATGATTTCCTTTTATACCTTACGTAGGCCTAAATAAGGAGTCACCTGATGTCTTTATCATCAGTTAATTTAATCATGGTTTAAAGAAGGAAGTGAACTCTGAACTGTATATTAAATGCGTATGAATTCAGAATTCTTGAAATGAATCGAAGGATATTCCTTCCTACGTTTCTTTCTGTCCCAGCTTTTAGTTGATTGTTGGGGGAACATCCAGTTGCTTCGGTTCCATCATCTTATTGGCTGGCCGTGTTATTACGTCTGATCGTGGAACATGGACTAATTTGATTTGTGTATAATGTAGATATTCCTTTCATTATATCGTAACTGACAGGGTTTCTTGTCGTTCTCTGTCAGTCATATGGCAACTGGCTGCGCGAATGAAGATATTCAGGACAGATCGAGTGAGCTGAGATGACTTCGAGTTTGCAACCTTTGCGGGAATCCAAGAATTTGCATTATTTTAACCATAACTGCCTAGAACAAAATTACAATATAGTACAGACTCCATTACTCCATCAATTCGATTTAAAACTCAGTGGAATAATCTTTGAACAAGCAGCTTAAATTGACTTGAAAAACATAACAATACGCACTGCAATATAATAAATCTAGGATCGATTCACATAACCTAACTTCTATATTATGCTAAGAATTGACAGACCAAGTAAATTTCTTTCTGCTCATTATTTCTAACTTAAATCTCCTTCCCTTCTTCAGTCTTCATACATTATTAAAGTGTTTTCATCATTTGCATATAAAGCATCATTGCTTTAAATCATGCAGAAGAAGAGATTTACATGTATATCACCATACTTCAACACATTGAAAGGCATCAATATTTCCTCTCTTATCATTAAGGCCAATTTATTTTGGAGAGAATAATTGAAATCTCACATATCATTACATGTACCTTGCATACTTTGTCAAAGTCATTTAAGCTATCTGTCACTGTGAAAGCCTATTTGTGGTCTGGGAGATATTTATACATAGCAACATACTGGAGTGATACCATGGAAAATGCATGCTTTTCTATTATTGTGTAATATTTCAGCTGCAAAGCTGATATGAGTTGGACTGAAAGATGTTGCATTATTTTATTTAGTAAATTCTTTAAAATGTCTCTCCGAGCAAATGTAACATTTAGCATTATAATTCAAATAATTCTGAAAGGTTTAGTAAATCAAAGTATTTCATTTAAACTCCTACTGTGCATGGTGTGTCAGTATGAAGGTGGTGTGTCAGGGAAGAAAGACAATAAAATGTTGGGTTTCCAAAAAGCTGAAATGATAGTAATAAGAAATGAGTATTCATTTTGCATCTCTTGGTTAAAAAATTAAACTTTACAAGACATGTTCTAATGTGCATATCAGTCGGCCTGCAAATAGTTTATCTAGCCACTCCACAGTGATGTAAGCCGTGTGGGAATTTGCTCCATCTTGCTGGAACCATTTGTCCCCTCCCCACACGCCACAACGGGCAACAATCCCCCCCCCCCCCCCGAAATAATTAAGCACCGGAATGTTACCCTCTTTATTGACAGTCACTGTCTCACCAACACCATGCTAAAATCAAAATAATCTGATAATGACCTTTTTTGAGGTTGCAACCCATGGGGAGAGTGCAATAGCATCTGAAGAACTTATCTGGTACTCCAAATGGAGTTCTTTCTGCTGACCTGACCTAATAGAGTGAAAATGGCTTCATCATTGAACTGCACATTCTGGAGAAAAAATCTGACATTTCTTCAGTCTCGTATTCGAACCACATTAATAACACATTTTTTTAAAGTTATTTTTTAAAACGAGATACAGATAGAACACTCATTTCAATTGTTATTATTTAAGTCTTTAAGAAAAGTCAAGATTTGATTGTCCTTTATTTCTGGTTCATAAGCCATGAGTGTGTATAGATGAGTCACATTTATACCGACACATCTGTATAGGCCTAAATTTTACAGAAATGCTGAGTAACAGAAATGTAGCGGCTCTGGCTGATTGAGCTGAGGCTCTGACTAGATTGGCTTCAGGGACAGTATGTCACTAACTGAGTTCAAAGTATCACAAATTACACAACAAGTTCATGCATATTGAAGTTTACACGTATGACAGCATTTTCACCGGAGAATCTAATACATGTACGTAAAGAGAAGGATGGGCCTATTTTAGACACCTTTCACACTTACTCCCTACAAACACCAGAGTAAGTGGAGCTCAGGTCAGACTGCCCCTGAAGAAGGCCAGCCCTGAACTTTTTGAACCAATGGACACATCAACATCATCATCATCATCATTAAAAATAAAAATACACTGAGAAATAAAATGGCACAGGCGTCTCACGTGCAATAAGCTGCATATAAAATAAAGCTGTCGGTTTACCACAAACCTAGGAGGTCAGACAACAGCTGATGGAATTAAATCAAACTACACTTGCCAATACTCCAGGCACTCTCTAGATACTTAATGTTGCGCAACTATTTCATATAATACCGAATAGTAACAGTAATTGTTTATTACTTAGCTAAGAAAATGTTCATCCGTGTAGAATCTTATTTCGTAAGTCTTTGCCACTAACGTTATCGACATGTGCGTGATTACCACCCAGTCACTCTGCTATAATTCGAGTGTAGCAGTGCCTGTTTTCAACGGCCATATGTTACCAGCTCTGTTTTCATCGTACTCTTTTTTCCATCTGAAGCTTTTTGGTAACCGTAGGTAAGATATGATGAAATTAGCTAAGACGTCGCATATTTAATGAAGTAAATGAACCGCAAACCTTCTATTTGCAAAGATACTTTAAACATAAAACCCCAATACTTAAATAATTAAAACAGCTACCTTTTCTTTTCCTTATGTCAAGACGACAAAAATCAAACACGAAAAGCATAACGCTGTATATAATGGTGGATGGCCTATTAATATCTGTTAAAATTATTTCAGTAGCAATATATTATTTTCGAATATAATGAACCAGAAAAGCAAACCGTTCGTCTTTTATTGAATATTTTCATTTACAAATGGGCACCATGTGCCTTTAAGCTACATGTGCCTGTTCTCGTGTGCTAACAGCCGCTGTTTTTTTTTTTAATTAAAATTTATTCTCCATTTCAGAGGATATACAATTAAAATAAATCATGTTGATAGAAAAAATACCACAATATAAGATTTTTTCTTCTCTAAATTCATATAGATGAATGGTGGCCAGGGAGAAATTTACCAGTATAGCAACATACTCCAGAACAGTGCTATTATAATGAATACTGTTTATGAGGCTGATGAAATTAACTGAATACTATGATACTGCTCACCTTGTAAGCACTTCAAACTGGTGCATATGTATATGAATGTAGTATTAGTACTTTTCGGATTACTGGGGAAATATAATAAACCAAAATGGATTATTTTATTGATAAACCTTAGGATAAAAATTGATATTTTACAGAAATAAAAATATTGTTTCATCAAACTGATTAGACTGCGTTTGGGACCAATGTTGCAGAGTATTAAGTCTAAATGAATTCCTTTAGATTTGAAAATTACTAGTGTCTTCTATGCTTTCTCCTAATAGCACTGCATATTTAGCAGTACGAGTGTACGTGTATATACAGACACTATTTAGTAGCATTTAATCTTCTTCCTTCCAGATAAGTTCGGTATTAAAGCCTATAAAATTAAATAGCACAAGGTACCTCAGGACTTCATCCGTGCATGCGTGGCAGATGAATATGGCCAATTAGTATGCAATCCCAAGCCAGTTCCTCTCCTGGTGCCGTACATACCCAGGTGTAAACGAGAGTTTACTGTAGGAACCTTCATCCAGAACTATGAGAGAAGCGCTGCCCTCTACCTGAGGTCATGGACGTTTAAACATTGGCTATCACCATAATATATTGAGTCTCACCATATAAATCAGCAATTGCTGCTCCGTAAGATTACGATAGATGGTAATTTACATTAAAAGAAATTAAAAATACAGACTATAAAAACATGGACTTGCACGTTTAAAAGGGCAATTTAGGATGAGTGAAATACACACAAACATTTTAATGATTAGTATAATTTATTCGATAATTTCACACTAAAGGTGCTTATCATATGAACCAAATCTCAACTACAGCAATTGGCAAAATAAAAACATAAATGAAAAAATAGGAGTTGATATGAAAATGAATAACTAAAAAAGTAAAACAGGATATGAGAAAGCTATAGATGAATAAATATAAATAGTGAAATAGCCACAGTTTTGAAAAAAAAAAAAACGTGATGACTTTGATATACAAACACACCTATGTCCCCAAAGAGAGAGAGAGAGAGAGAGAACCAATTTTAATTTTTTTTATTCTTTTAATCTAAAGCCAAGGGAGAAATAGGCCTACATCATCTACATGTACATGTATGTATATATTATTCATATTTGACTTACACTCAATGTCATGCACTCCATATAACAGTTGAAATTCCTGCGGCTTAAAAAAAAGAGGAGAGCATACACAAATAGATACATTATTGATACACGAAGCATTTAGACCTCGGATGGAGCCAAAGTATATGTGTTTCGGGGGAAGTCAAAATTCAATAGAAACGATCCTCAAATTCAAAATAACCCAAGACAAGGTCACGATACTATTTGTGCTGTGCAATTTTTCATGAACTTAGCATGTTATTCATATACAGCAATCTGCGTCGTTAACCACTGGTCCTACGCCCATGGCCAGTAAATTTTTATGGCTAGTAGATTTTTCAGAATATGTGAATTAAGTGGCCGGACATGACTATAAGAATCTGAAGTGTAGCTGTCGCCTAATATTTCTTAAAAAAAAAAAACTTCAACAAAATCAACGTCTTGTCATTACAAACATTCATGCAGTAATGGAACATGTCCCTGTCTGATTGATGTTTTTATTCGGACCAGTGAATCATGATTTGGACCAGTAGATTATAGGTAAGTAGTGGTCCGAAAGACCATTAAGTTCAAAGTTTATGGCACAAAAGAGAATGAATACAGGCGCTGGAAGATCCTTATTACATATAACACTTTGGCAAATAAATAAATAAATATCGTGAAGAGTCGAAAGATAATGAATTCAGTGGGTTATAGCCGATGTATTCAATGTCTAATTGATATACAGGTACTTGACGATCTCTCATTTTGTAATTAGTACCAGCTAGCTAATACTTAGACAGTCGGAATATAATGATATCTCTGGGTTTCGGGATATAGCCGTCGACTCCTAGAATTCAAGAAGAAAATAATTAAATTATAATTCGTTCGACATAAACACCAGTGTATGCATAACTTAATATAATTTAAATGATAACTAAAAGATATAGAATGTATGGGTAAAAATACATGCATAAATAAATCCATGGAGTAGCAATTGATTGAATATACAAACAAATAAATGAGGCAAATTCAAATCAGGTAGAACAAATAGATAAAGAAATACATTGACAATTGTACTAATAACTATTACATATAAACAATGGATCCAAAATTAGCACGGGGGCAAATAAAAAAGAGATAACATTTCGGTTACATACCCACTTGCAATGGGGTGTTCGGTGCCTTAAGAATTTGCCAATACGTTCTTTTAACTGGATCCTCCGATATTCCGTTAACCTCGGTGATGTAGTGACCAAGGGAGGTGTCCTTTGCCTTAAAACTATAGGCAAGATCAATGAAATTATTAATTTACCAGCTTGATCATTGATCACAAAATACTGTTTCGTCGAACGCTACAGTGTTTCGATGCCAATGCATTATTTTTATTTCAATAACGGACTAATTAACTCATTTCAATTCAATTCAATTACACGTAATTCCTGTACTAGTGCATGTATTTTGTACGCCATACATAAGGTCCAAATGTTTTACGACCTGTTAAAATTTTGGTACATAATTGTGGAAAATCGCAAAATGGTGTAAAGATTACACCCAAATGAATGGATTTGTATTCTCATTATGCTGTCATTAGCCGAATAAAAAAGTGAATTTTATATAAGAAATTTGAAAATCAAGCAGCCTACCTGAAATTTGATACTCTTTTCTGAAGAATATCCATAGAGACGTACAAGGATGATCCTATTGGAACGTTGACGTGGTAACTCTCTTTTTCATTGTGTCCTTCTATATTAGCAACTGCCTGGATGGTGAATGCTAGTTGTGTTGGGGTTGTAGTCGTACTGGGCGGACCTTGAGTAGTAGTGACAGGGGGCGTGGCCTTCTGACAGATCTTGATGTCTCCCAAATCAGCGTATGATTTGCCAGCAAGGGCGGGGAGAACCTGATTGGCAGCTGTCACTCCTCCAAACGAACCATCCTGTTCTGTTAGAATCAAAAGGCACAAATAAGCTGTGTATCATGCTACAATTTTAATTTATCCTTACATTCTAACAGAATGTCACAAAAAGTAGATAAAATAAATTGTCAAATATCAGTTTAATGTTATATAACATATATATTATTCAGGGGCGAAGCCAGAGCTATTTTCTGACAGTCTTCCAAATTATCTTTGTTGATCCATGTTCCATTTTTGACCGTACTTCCGACAGAAAAATAAAATACCGGTAAATGCAAACTCGAAAAACTGACCGTCTCCCGGAAGACCCAGAAGACGGCCTCAATCCGCCCCTGTTTTTACCCCTTATGCATTAAGAAAGTCTTTACTTACGTTGATGGGTCAAGAGGGAAAGTTGAGCTTTTTCCTTGATCTGATTTCGACTGCTTTTATCATCTGCATACAGAGCCTAAATAACAAAAGATTTGAGCATTCAGAGCACAATACTTACTTATTTTGTGCATGAGTCCTGACAGGAAAAGGCCTTGGGAAAATTCTGTATGATCTGTGATATCCCATTCAATTATTATTTGCAATTAGATTAGTTTGCCTTTTACTGGTATTCAAACAACCATCTGGTTTAATATGAACATTGGATTAATGTGAAACATGTCATGACCTCGTCATATTTTACACTGAATAGTTTTAGCTGTATACCTGAACTGCCAGTCCAGTAGTGTATTGGTTGCCAAATGAACCATCCTTCTTGATATTCGACAGTATATACTGGATCCCGGTGTTGATGGCAGGTGTGACGTCAGCGGCCCCTGTCCGGTCTCTCACACAAGACAATGCAGTCACTGATATTGCAGCTTCATCTGGAAACGGAGACAGGAAACGGAAGTGAAATCGCTTGCAGAAAGGGACGAAAAATGGAAAGTGTAAGTGTAATAGAAAGCAAAAGATTAAGAAGGTGGTGGATTTGAACATGTAAGCAAATTTATTAATTGAACAAGCAATCATACGACCAATAAGGCATAAAATAAAATAAAAAGACAATCATGCACAAAACGATATTATATGGAAAAATATATGATAAAAAGAAGATGACATTACCAACTCCAAAAGCATAATTTCCAGCACCATCCACAAGACGTTTGTAGTACGTCTCATTTATAGCACCAGAGTTGCACAGAGCTAACACAGCCCAACTGTAGGCGAAGTTCTGGTTAAAATAATACTTGGGAAAGTTGTTCATTTGGTTCATGAGAAGTTTTATGAGGTTATTGCCATTGAACTTTGTCGGATTTTGACAGGTAGACACAAGACCGTTGATGAACTGGCCAAGTTTCCCGCCATACCAAGTAGGCCAGTCAATAAACAACTTAGGTTGGAAAAAATTGGTGACAAAGGTTTCTCAATTGATTCTGGTCCGTTGAAGGCCCAATATAGCCCAAAAAATTTTCCCCATGAATCCCCCCATGGCAAAGTCTCATTTTCCACAAAAATCCAAAATGGCCGCTATTGAATAGGGTGGGTGGACTTGAAATCCATAACTTGGGAACCCAGTGTCACAGAAACATGCTTTAAGTATCAATTCCTACTAAGTGAGGGATCCCCAATCTTTTGAAACTAGTCTCAAGGTCACTGGAGGTCAAGGTCATGACCTTATTACAAAGTCAAGGCAAATTTGGAGAAAAAAACCCATAATGTCTATATGACAGTTTCCCAATGTCACAGAAACATGTTTTAAGTATCAACGCCTACTAAGTGAGGGATCCCCAATCTTTTGCAACTAGTATCAAGGTCACCAGAGGTCAAGGTCATGATCTTATTACAAGGTCAAGGCATTTTTGGAGCAAAAAAACCTCTTAATGTCTATGTGACAGTTTCCCAGTGTCATAGAAACATGTTATAAGAAACAATACCAATCAAGTGGGACACTACCAAACACTTGTAACTATTTTCAAGGTCACCAGAGGCCAATATTATGAAATAAATTCAAGGTCAAGTGAATGATATCATATTATCTATATCTTGGTAACCGTATGCCACTAAATCATGCATGTTTAATGTATCAATTCCTTCTAAATGAGAAGTAAACAATCAATTGCAACTAATTTAAAGGTCACCAGAGGTTAAGTTTATGACCTCTAATTACAAGGTCGTGAGGTTTTCAAGCAAAATTCCATACTTTCTCAATTACCAAATGTGTCAGAAACGTGTTTAGCGAGCCAATTAATGCCCTGTAAATGGAGCCCTGTTTATCATTTGCAACTATTTCCAAAATCTAGGAGGTACAGGCTTGATCTTCTTGCAAGGTCATCATGAAATTTAATGAAAAACTGATTCTAGGGTGTGCTAAATACAACACATAAGATTGTTTAAGAGCAAAATATGCATCTCCATTTTTTATGACAAATGTTACATTTTATAGAGCGACCTGAGCCCATTGTGGTTTATGTAAATACTTAATTTTAGTGCAGGTGCTATAGGCATAAGCTCTCTTCAAGTCTGCCCAATGATTGACCTAAAGCCTTCTTGTCCTACCTTTTTATGTATAATCTACTTTGGAGTATCTGTGTGCCATTGTAGAGAGGAGATAGTGGATAAAGCATATTTATTTGTCCATTTAATCAGTATCTGTATTTGGTTGCTTTTATGACAACCAAAGGCCAGCCATTACTGAATTGCCAATGGTAAAGTGTGTTGATTCTTAATGGTCGATTCAATATCTCTAGCTCCATCATGGATGGGTGAGGTCTAAAAGCTATACCCTCTCCCAAGCCTACTGCGCATGCTGACACAAGTCGGTACTTGTGTTAATTGGGTAATTTTAATGTGCTGAGTGAGAAATTAAGAACTTTTTTTGTGTGAAGACAAACTTGTAGATGGTGCAATTTGAGTGTCATTTCAGCATCTTTTTTCCTAAATATCCCAATTTTTGGTCCTGCAGTGGGATTCTGAAATAGGCAGCAGGTCATTTGCTGGGAAGAACTTGTTCACCACAAGTGAACACTCTATTAGAAGGTGTAGTATGTTTTGGTCGATAAACTTTAAAGCTGCTGTTTCGTGGTGTGCTCATCTGTGTCAAAAGTAGTTACATGTTTTCATATCATGCCAGCTCCTGTCAGATTGGAAAACTAGTACTGAGACATGATTGCAACCTGGAAGTTTTTATCAGGTCTGTTAGGATAGGAAACTGGCTACATGCTCTCGTCATCATCCTCCGTTTGCTTTGCTGCAGCTCAGTTGACAGTCATTGTGTCGAGCTTGCGGTCTCAAAAAGGGGGAGGGGGGCTTTTTCTGAAAAAGTGGACCTTCTACCAAGAAATATTTGTGTAATTAGATAAAATTTTATCCAGAACGTCACTGGCTACAGGCCTGTATTTGATTGTCAAAGCACCAAGGACAAGGGACGTACAAACGGTTGTAGCTGGGATTTTGTATCCTTCAGTTTGAAGCTGACCATGTAGAAATAACCTTCTGACAAATATTAAGTGATCAGGTGGTAATAAATGCTTATTGCATGTTGTGCATTAATCCAGACTACCTTATCCTCAAGTTGTATTGAAGCAAATAGGCCAACTTATCTGCAGAGGACACATTTGCCTTTTAATCACTGTCCATCATGCAGTCAAATTGCTCCTTAAATTTGTCCAGGAAAATGTATTTCTTCTCTGAAAAGGACTCTTATTTACCCATACCTAACTCTGCTATGCCATATCTACATGTAGACCTATTGTTAAAGACCCACAGCTACATGTAGCAATTGTGATAAACTTGTGGCTAGTAAGTTTGAAGATTTGAGAGAAGCATTGGAAGTGAATATCTGAGAAATCATATATATATATATATATATATATATATATATATATATATATCCAACATGAATTAATTCCCCCATTGCAGTAGTATAGAATGCTGTAATAAGATTCTGAATATTCCAATTTTTTACATGTCTTATGTGAGGCTACAATGGTGATTGTATAACAGGCTGTCTTTGCCCAGTATGAAACAAGTTCATATTATGTTATTAAGCTTTTAGTGTACTTTTAGTTCCTGTATAATGTAAAACACACATCTTTATTTAAACATAGATATAACACCTAGGCCCTAGTGGTTTTGAAATGGGTACAGTATACCCTTAAGCCTTGTAAACTGAATGCCATTTATTTAAATGAGTACTATGCAGTAGCAGCGATGCCTTTTCTGTAATGAAATATTCTTTAAACAATCACCTGTGTTGTATTTGATAAGTGTAAAATCAATTTTTCTTAAATATTATGACAACCTTGTTATAAGGATATGACCCTGACCTGTGGTGATCTTAGAAATAGTTTCAAATGATCGGCAGTATGTCACTTGTATGAATCGATACTTTAAACATGTTTCTGTGACATTGGCCGGGTTATCAAAATGTAGACATGATGGCATTTTGTCCGAGCTAAAAATGCCATGACCTTGAAAATAAGGTCATAACATTGGCCTCTGGTGCCTTGAAAGCAATTGCATATTATTCTCAGAACCTCACTTAGTAGGAAATGATATTTAAACATGCCTCTGTGACATCCAATTACAAAGGTTTAGCTAATATGGGAATTTTCTGCTCGAAAAATGCAGTGTCCTTGAAATTAGGGTCATGACCTTGACCCCAAATGACTAAATAAATTTGCAAAAGATTGGCGGTGCATCATTCAATAATAGTGGATACTAAAATATGTTTTGTGGCATTAGGTTACCAATATATGGACATCACGTCATTTTTTGCTCGCAAAATGCATAGATCTTATGATTAGGTCATGACCTTGACATCCAGTGACCTTGAAAGTGGTTGCAAAAGATTGGGGATCCCTCACTTAGTAGGAGTTGACACTTAAAACATGTTTCTGTGACATTGGGAAACTGTCATTTAGACATTATGGGTTTTTTTCTTCCAAAAATGCCTTGACCTTGTAATAAGGTCATGACCTTGACCTCCAGTGACCTTGAGACTAGTTTCAAAAGATTGGGGATCCCTCACTTAGTAGGCGTTGATACTTAAAACACGTTTCTGTGACATTGGGTTCCCAAGTTATGGATTTCAAGTCCACCCACCCCATTCAATAGCGGCCATTTTGGATTTTTGTGGAAAATGAGACTTTGCCATGGGGGGATTTATGGGGAAAATTTTTTGGGCTATATTGGGCCTCCAACGGACCAGAATCAGTTGAGAAACCTTTGTCACCAATTTTTTCCAACCTCAATGGGGAAAATATGCTCGTTTACTGGCCTAAAGCGGCCGTGTCCAAACTTGGGTAGCTGCAGAAAAAGTTACGCTTGATTCATTTATCTATGCATTCATTATTTATAAGTACGTGTATGTTATAAAAATTAAAGCAGATACTATATATGGTGAATGTATATATTAAGAAGGCACTCAGAGAACGCAGACCTATCCATGGCAGCTAAATTTGTATTCTCGTTAATCGCTTATTTATTATCCAATCAATCAATCAATCAATCAATCAATCAATTCTAATTAGTACTATTTAATAATTGATTACCTATTTTATTAAGTCAATTCTAAGAATTATTAATTATGTGACAATTAGCTAAATAATTAGCCAAGAGATTAATTAAACTAAACCACCAAAATATAGCGCAATAAATTCCTCAATAACACTTTGTATAATTTTGGTAACAAGCACACAAATAAATAACTTATAATTAACCAATATTTGATTGATGGCTCATCACAAAAATCTTGTCAGATTTAAATACGTTAGGCCTTTCTGACCTTTTCTAAAAATTATCATCAATATCCATAGATGTAACTTTTTGAGTTTGGCTGGTAATAATGGACAAGACATTTAAAAAGACAAACGGAGGTAAAACAACCTCCTTGACGAAGCTAACTACCCAGTACAAACTGTTACTGGTCAGATACCAACGTACTTTCTTATAGCTGTCAGGAGAACCAAATTCATTTCTTTGACGCTGGCGACGGTGTCCAGGTTGTTGGGACCATACCAGCCATCTCCGTCAGCTAACTGAAGCGCCGTGATGGCCTCCGCCTCACTTCGCATTCCCCAACCCGATTCGGCGTTCCGGGCCTTAAGCAGCCATTTCATCCCCTTCTCTCTCGCCTTGTCAATGACTGAATTGGTGAATATTATCAATA